TTCTGCATTTCCGCACTTTGCCAACCACCTGGGCATCCATTAGTCAGGCTCTCATCTTTCACCAGGTATGTTTCTAATGTTAAGGTCAATTTGTTATCTAACTTATACACCCCCCCCCCCTTTCAGATAATTTACTGTATCGGTTATTGTTCTAATGTTTACATGGGCTTGCAACTTGTACGCAAGAATGTATTCACAAAATGTTAGAGATGTGTGGTGTGTAGTCATACTATAAAGTATTAAAGATAAAGTTTCCCTTTTCAGACCTTGCGATCTATAGGGCAGATGATGTTTAAGTCATGTTTCTTTGGCGAAGTTAACAACCAGGGTGTCATGTGGCCAGCGCAACAACCAACCACCTTTACTTTTCCCAATAAAGTCAGGGGCTTGAGTTGGGTGGATTAGGGAGCCCTAAAAATCCTGATATTCAAAATCCAAGTCTTCACAGAGGTTCAAACCCAGGACCCTACTTAGCCACCTCGCCCCTAAAATGTACACATTTGAGTTTATTATAGAAATTTAAATTAGACTTGTAAAAACTGTTCTTAAGGACTTTCCATGTAAAAAAAAAAAGATATCTGTCTACTATTAAACATTTTATTTTTTTGTGGGAAGCGTTGTTGAGAGGCTAAATGCGCTTGAACTTGGCTTGTCTTGGCTACCTAGAAGGGGGCTCGAGGTTCAACACCCGACTCGAGCAGAGTTGTGTTTACTGAGCGCCTAAAGGCAGCACGGAAAACCAACTCCTAGATACCCCCTCCTCCCCACTGGTCCACTAATGAGATTGGACCAGAGCATGCTATAAGCATGAAAGTAGCGCTATATAAAAGCTATAATATATATACTTGGTATGTCTGGACTAGTTGTTGAGATTTTCTGTAAGGTTTTGACATGACGTACTTGAATAAATCCTGTGAACTCCCAGGGGAACTTAGGGCTGCAACCACATCTCTCCACTGAACTAGTTCTGAGCAGCTTTCTTCATCTACTCCAATGTCATTCCAGTATCCTCAGCCTCACAGATGACTGCCCTCTTCCAGGTTTGCTTGGGCCTGCCCACTTTCCTCTTTCAATCAAGTGCCTGCTTTGCAATATTGGTAGCTGGTTTTCACAGGGTGTGTCCTACCCCACTCCACTTTTGCTTTTTGATATCTTGGGCTATGGGTATTTGTCTAGTTCTCTCCCACAAATTGACAGTAGTTATCTTTTCTGGCCACCTAATTCCCAATGACATTAAAAATTTATAATTATCAAATATAATATTTTTGTATATCATTTTTATAGGTTCGCAAATACTTACTCATACTTGATCCTCGAAAATCTCATATCAAGTTCTGGAGGCCACAATTACTGTTGATGGTGTCCAATCCCAGGCAAAGTTGTGAGTTGATGGACTTCTGCAATGACATCAAGAAATCAGGTCTTTATGTCATTGGCCATGTCAAAGTTGGGAAACTGGATGACTACCCAACCGATCCAGTGATGGAGGAAACGCCCAAGTGGCTGCAGCTTATCAACCACATGAAGATCAAAGCCTTTGTTGAGCTGACCCTTTCCAGCAGTGTGTCCGAGGGTTTCCAGCAGCTGGTACGGTTATCTGGCCTGGGTGGTATGAAGGTCAACACCGTCTGCTTTGGATTCTATGATGACACCATGCCGACAGATTCTCTTCTCAAAACTAAAATCAGAAAGAGAAAGTTATTTGGATCTATTGATAGCAGTCAGCAAGACTTTGAATCTTATTTTAAGCTACCTCGATCAAATGGGGAAAGGCATCTTACAGTGAATGAATACATTGGCCTTATTCAGGATGCCTTCAAACTTCAGAAAAGTGTATTTTTATGCCGCAATTTCCAGCTGCTGAACAAAGAAAACATTCTCAAGTCAAACGAGAAATTGTTCATTGATGTCTGGCCCGTCAACTTTTTCCGCCCAGACACAGCAAGCTACTTTGACAACTCGTGTCTTTTCATGCTGCAGCTGGCTTGTATACTGACCATGCAGAGTGGCTGGAAGAAGCACACCCAGCTACGGGTGTTCCTCTGTGTAAACTCACTGTCTGAGAACACAGGTATCAAGGAGAAAAAACTGTCCACATTCTTGAGACAGCTTAGAATTCAAGCCAAAATTGTGGTAAGCAAAGCAATGTTTTTTATTTGCCTAGGAGATAAGCTTGAATGGTAAATCATTATCTGTTGTGCCTTAGACCAGGGCTGATGGGTGAGACGTGTCTGAGTTATGAACCTGAATGGTAAATCATTATCTGTTGTGACTTAAACCTGGGCTGATGGGTGAGATTTGCGTTTGAGTTATTTACTAACAACTATAAAGTAAAGAAACAATAAATAATGCATAAAACATTAAACTATAACTTAGAAATATCAAAGCATAACTTAAGAAAATACTCAGAAAGACACAAAGATAAAGGCATATTTCTTATTCTGTAGACTAGGATAATGTCATAAAGAGCTCCATCCTTAGTACCATTAGAGCATTGAATGGGTTGCCTGAATCAGCCTGTAAAACCAATGACTTAGCAAAGTTTAATTTTAAATAACAAGCATGACTAGATTAACACACGTGACATGAGGCTGAGTGGCATCAATCGCTTGGATACCTATCAAGGGGTCTCAAGTTCGAAACCCAACTCTAGTAGTGTGTGGTTGATAAGCACAGAAACCTTCTCCCAGATACACCCTCCACTCTCATGTCCTTAAAAGAGATTAGACCTAGCTCACTGAGCATGCTATAAGCTGGAAAGATTCAAAAATTAATTTTAAAGACATTGGATATATGCGTAGGAATTGTCTTTATAAAGGAATGTCTGGAATTTAAAAGAAGCAATGAATGCTTAATAATGTTCTAGCTTCTATCACTTGAGTTAGTTAGTAGTTACTTTGATATTGGTACTTAGTAGCCTAGGCTCACACCTGAACATAAACTACCCTTCCTATTGCGTTCTTTCACTGAGTGTTCTGTATGTTTTCAGATTGTGTCCTTTGAGCATCTTCTCAGCCATTTGACAGCTGATGGAGATCACTACTCTGCAGCAGCAGCGCCACAGTCAGAGGGAGAGCTGGACGATGTCAAGATGCATGAGTTTGCCCAAGTACCTCAAGCTTATCTAGACGGTGTCAATTCTCTGTTGCAGGTACGAAATAGTCTTTCAGTTCACCATCTATTTTATCTATTTTTATTGTCAAAAAGTAAAGTTTCCGTTTCAGACCATCTGTTTCTTTGGCCAACTCTTAATGTGCAGGGTGTCTTTGTCCAGCTCAACGACCAACCACCTTTCCTTTCCCCCAACTTAAGTCAGGTACCCAGTATAGTTGGGTGGAATCAGGAGCCCTAAAAATCCTGAAGTTCATAATCCCAGTTTCACCAAGATTCAAACTCAGGACCCCTGGTTTAAAAGCCAACCACTCAGCCACCCCATCCCCATTAATCATTTATCTTGTGATGGACACCTTTTACTGTTACTTGACTTTCATTGTATGGGTGCTTAGACAGTTTGCTTAACCAAATCCCTCAACATTTCTTGGCCACCAGCTGTTCTTATTTAAGCACTTAAACAGTAAACAGTATAACTTTTAACGTTCCTACTGTACTTGTTGAATAGATGAGGGAGTCCTTGAAGAACTAAGGGCAGAGCATGGCCTAAATTATGCCCATGTGCCATAAAATCTAAAATCTTTGTGCTCGCTCCTCTGTACCATTGAAGGATGACTTTGATAATTATACTTTATCTTAGATTTGAATAAGATGTCCAGCACCTTGAAGGATGACTTATACTTTAGTTTAGATACTATTTGAATAAGATGTCAAGCAGGCTGTACATTTTGAAATGATTGTTAACCAGAACCATAACACTCTCATTGATGGTTGCATTTCTGATGTTTTGAAAGTTTTTCTTTTTTACTTTCAAGTAAAAGCCACATTTTTTCAACTCATGTTATATTAGCTTCATTTTTTCTTCATAGATGGTTGGAAGTTGGTCGGTAATTCGAGTAAAAAAAAAATTGAATCATTGCTTTCAAGCTGAAATTGAGCTATAGTAGTGTAGCTGGATAGCTCAGTTGATAGGGTGTCAAAGCTAATGTGTATGTGTGGTGGTTTTGATTGAGACCAATCATTATAGAAGGCCTGTGGGCAGTTTAGACCAATAGCTTGTTGCCACATCACAGGTCTGTACTGCGTGGCAAAGATTTATTTGTCTAAACTGTGTTGCAGGTCAGTGTTGAGACATTCTATTACAAAGGGTCTTGGTTTGATCCCATTTCTGGCAATTTTTTTGCTCTTTTTATTTTCATTGACAGCTATAATATGAATGCCTAGTGTAGCCTACTATTTGAATATAATTGGGAATCAAACAAATAAACAATTTCTATTACTTGCTTTTATTGAATAGATGTTTTGTCCATGACTCTTGAGGTTTTTTTTTATCTGTTCAGCCATTTGAAATTTATGATTTGAATTGTTTTGTTTATTCACAGGCTAATTTGAATCAGTCAGCTGTAACCTTTATGTACCTGCCACGCCCACCCAGCAGTGGACAAAACACCTACACTCCCTATTTAGAACAGCTGAGTGCCATATCCAGTTGGTCTCACCCGACAGTCTTTGTCCACGGTCTTCATCCTGTCACATCGACAGCCTTGTAAATAAGGTAGCCTATCATCAGCCATTGCAACTGAGTTCCATTACTTAATCTTTTAAGTTTCTGCCACCTTAAATTTTTGTTCAAACCATTCCAAAGTTTGTTCTAGAGTATACTGAACAGATTTTTTATATAACATGACATTTAGTAGAGGAAAGAAACTGAAATATATATAGAGACAATTTTTTGTGGTGCTGATAGACTTTTCATTTATTTTGTTAGCATTTAGTCTTACCATCTCAAGATATTGAGCACTGATTCATCCTCTGTAGTATCTGATTCTAGTTGTATTATTGTAAGTCTTAACACATTAAGTTTATTTTCTTTTTTTTTTTTTTTGCATGCGCACGTACACACACACAGCATTTTATGTTTTTCATCTTTTAATATTGCTTACATTTTTTTTTTCTGCAAATGTCAATCAATGGGGTCAAATTATTTCAAAACTTTTGTATGTGATGAATAAGCTACAATCCAAAAGTGTCACCAGCTGCAGATGTGACCTTATTCTAGACTAACTCCTGGATGTCTTGAGAAAGTCAACGGAGTAAAGTTTATATACTGCCTCTTGACTAAAGCACAATTTTATACTTGTAGATTTATCTCTCTTGAAGTGTAATAGTGGCTATCAACCCTATGTGCCCATTATGGTAACCATGTGCTTGCTGTAGCTACCAATTTTATGTTGCTATAGATGTTACCTAAAATGTAACAGTGCAAGACAATTTTTTTTTTTCTCACAAGCAAATTTTTAGTTGAAACCAAATTTACCTGAGAATCATACATTATATTTTTAAAGACTACCCTGTTTCTTTCATCAAAACTTTTTATATTTAATCAAATGTTACTTTTGTTTTTTGCAAATAATCAATTTTGAATATGTACATATTTAAATTTTCTTAAATATTTAACATTTTATACAATAACTGTTGATGCATTTTTTTTTATTGAAAATGTTTTTCTTTACAAAAGAATTTCCAAGTTTGATTTTAAACATTTAACTACCGGTACTTTTAAAGACCCCAATTTTTTTTGGTTTTTTTTAATAGTTGTAGTTTATTTCATAACATTTTTAGGCAAAGAAAATTGGTTGTTTTTTTAGAATTCTTCTTTTACTGTAAATTGTTATGCGAATTGAGAAGTAATTTGTGTAATATAATTTTTATTTTCTATGCAATAAATTTTGATTAAGTGTTGTTGATTTTTTTTTAACCTTTTTGCAAGACTTAATAACAATTTCTTAAGGACCTTTGAACACGATTCATTTTTTTTTTAAATTTTTTTTTACATGTTTTGAATAATTTAAAGCAGTGTTTCTCAAACTTTTACCAGTGTGGCCCCCCCCCCCCCCTCCCTTAGAGAGAAAAAAAATCTTTTTGAGCCCCCCTTTCCTCCCCTGGTTTCTGTTGGAACGCTCTGGGCTCTCATATAGGTGTCTGAGAGGGTTTTAGGAACCTAATGAAATAGAAAATAAACTTGAAGACTTAAAATTATAACATTTATATCCTTATATGTTTGGAATCTAGTAATTTTTTTTACAGTTATAGTGTTTTAAAGATAATTTTTGTTATGTTCTGTATAATATAAAGAAAATCCATATTTGAAGGCAACAGGTTCCCTCTCAAGTCAGCTAGGGGATCTAGGGGGAAGTTTGAAAGCCATTCAATTTCCTGCGTTCTGGGGCTTCAGCAATGTATTCTCCATGCACCTACAACATACTTTTTTCATCATAGTAAGAAGTTTCAAGTTAAAGTAAAATGTGGTTTAAGGGGCCTATATGCATGTTTACCTTCTCTCCGTAATTATTTACCACATTCTGGTGTAATCAACGCTGGTATCGTCAGTTAGGAGAGAAAGAGTTAAATAAAGTCTGATTAAGAGGAAGGCAGCGCTGGCCTATACTATTATTTGAGGGTCATACTTTCAACTGTAATGGGCATCATCGTTGTAAGATCAACCTGCTGCTAAACAAATATTTTCATGCTGGCCATTTTGTCACACTAAAGTGGTCAACCTGTAGAGAAACAAGAGTCTGGAGAAATTTTATCTTTCTGACATAAGAATGTTCAGAAAAGCTAGCTAAGACATTTTGAAATGTTTTCTTCCAAAAACATTTTGAGTTGATATTGTTCTAGGCTCCTTTGATGAAAGCTATATTAATTTTAAAAGGTCTAGCTTGAAAGATGATGCAATGCCTCTTAATTAATTTTAATTTTTTGAAACATTGGTTATAATGTCATCTGTGGAAAATACAAATATTTTTTTGTCCCTTGAAAAATATATTGACAGGCTTCCTGCCCCCTTCTTATCAATACATTGCACCCCCTGCCAAACCATTTGAGAACTTCTGTTTTAAGGTAAACTACACTTAACAAGAGTAAAATCTGTGTTGAAATGAAAATGAAATGAAAATATACTCAACATTTGTTTATTTTATTTTTAATGTTTTCCAATACTATGTACAAATGTTCTTCTTGGTCTCTTCAAGGAGTTCAAATTCGGTTCCTAGACCTGGCGATGGCAAACATTTTTAAATACAGCTGTCAGACTGATGTCTTAGAATTTGTACACATGACGGTACCCTTTTATGACTCCTCAACATTAAAGAACTGGATACTTTGTTTATACTGCTCATACTTCTCAGTGCCAAGCTTAATTCTACTTAAACGTCACAGTGAAAGTAGATAGCTATCCAGTCAAGTGGATTGCACTCAGGACTGTTATCCTGAAGGTCCTGGGTTCAAACCCTGCGTTCTGCCTTTCCCCCCCGCCGTGCTGCGGGTAGTTTGGGCTAGGATGTATGGGGTAATAATCTTCAATGTTGAAGAAACATCTGAAACATGTAAAACAGAGAAATTTGCTTGCCATCACTAAGATTTGTCAGGTGCACCGGGGGGGAGGGGGGTCTCTTTTTTTACCTTGTGATATTTTTGTTTCAGTAAATAAAAGAATATTGCTGTTGAAATATTTGTAAACAAATCATTCCACTCCAAATTTTTCTTTCATTTTTGTTTTCAAATTGAGGTCAAAGTTTTATGTTCCATGTATTTTACTGAAACAAATGTATATAACTAGCTTCATTCTCATCTTTTATACAATCTTTACTGTATAAGAGTGTTAAAGTATTAGTAAATAAAACATCTTTGTTAAGTGCCTTGATATCAGACCAATGTAGACCTAGATGTAAACATTGAAGAAATTATTGGATTGAAAATATTCCCTTGTGGTGTTTTTATTTTTTTATCATTCAGTGTCATGTTTTTGTTTTGCTGTTAATCCATGTTTTAGTCAAACTAAAATAATATTTTTACAAAGCTTATATCAACTTTGTCTGGTAAAAAGTTTGAACTTGTTATTTCTCCCACACCAAATCTAGGACCAAGCTGAAATTTCGCACTATTATAATTCTTGTACCTGACAAAACAAGAATCAAATAAAAAATTAACCAATTAGTTAATTAACTATTGCTGATTAATTATTTTGTTTGGTAATGAACAATGGAAAGAAATAGTACTTGACAGATGTAGTGATATAAGCTGAATGGGTCCTCTTGAAGAGAATTGTGCCCCGAGTTCAAATTCAAATCTAAAATTTTTTTTTATCAATTGTTATCTATTACAAATTTAATAACATGATTGATACAAACTAATTGATACAAGCACACTTAATAAATATAAGCTTTATTGTGTTTCTTTTAAGTATTTATTTGTTTTTCTTGTCAAATAATACAAAGACATTGACTAAATAGACTTACAAAAAAAAGCATCGTATATCTCTTGAAGAGGTAGTAATAACGAGGGTGTCATGTGGCCAGCACAATGACCAACCGCCTTTACTTTTCCCCAACTAATGTCAGGCGGACTTTAAGGCACCCCAAAGATCCCGAAATTAAAAATACGAACCCCTGGTACATTTATAAATATTTTCTGTTGCCGTTACCAACAATGACATAGTTGACACCACCCAACTCATGAAATTTATAAACATTTGTGAAATCATAAACGAGCTAGCAGCTAAGAAAAATTGTGTGACCTCGACTCTTAAAGATTAAGCAATCATAATTAATCTTTCAATAGTAAAGTTAAGAAAAGTTTCCACTTTCAGACCTTGCGATCTATAGGGCAGTGATGTAAAGGTAATGGTTTTGTGGCCCCACGGTTAACGAGGGTGTCATGTGGCCAGCACAACGACCAACAGCCTTTACTTTTCCCCCAACTTGTGTCAGGTACCCATTAATAATAAGGCTTGTCTTCGAGTCCGAAGATTAGTGAAGAATGCAGTATTTCCCCTGGATGCGCAGCCCCAGCTTTGACCTACATATTTTGCCACATTCAGGGCAAGCATAACAATCTATAGGCATATATAATATAGGCGTCTTTTTTATTCCCTCCTCCCCAGTAGAGGCTGAAATTTTAAATGTCCATAATCTCCTGAATGCCACCCCCCTACATAAAAATAAAACCTCCAACGGCCCACGGTGACGATCCAGAATTTTAAAAAGAAAAGGGAAGAGAATGCCCACATGGGTTCTAAAACCATAAGACTAATTAAAAAAAAAAAGAAAAAATATATAAAAATTACAATCCCAATACGAGGAGAAATGGACCACCAGTGGGGAGAAATAACATAGTCGTTAACATTCGCACTTTCGACAGCATCCATTCTGACATCAATACCTTCATCACTACTGTTGTCTATCATCAGTCATGTCAGTATCAAATAATTTATTTTTTACATTAGATTTCTCCCTAGATTTAACGCAATGCTTTTATTTCCTCCATCATTGGTGATGATGTCGCGATCATACATTTTCCACCTTTTTTCCCCTCTGTTGGTTTGCTAACGAGGAGCAGCTTAATTTAGGATAGCCTGCAAATATATTTCAGATGAAGCTGCATCTGAAGATACTGTATGGACTAAAACATTAATTGATCTGTACCCTTTTAAAACTGCGTCGCAATTTAAGATAATGTCAGGAGTTTAGGTCAGAACTAACAAATTAATTGACGTGTCCCCTTGTGGAGATGCGGTGCGTGACGTTTTGGCGTTTTGGCCCCGCCGCTTTGGCGCGAGACGTTTTGGCGACGGGGACGTTTTGGCGCGAGATATAATTTGACGATAATTTAATAAGCACGTAGCTTTTATAACAATGTTTAGTTCACTCAACCATAATACTGTATATATAATATGAATTCTAACACCGTTCAGCGAATTGTTTTGTTTTGTTTTAAATTATAAAGGTTTTGCTTATTTCATGAATATAGGCCTATAATAAGTCAGATTCCTGAATGGTAATGACATCCCCTACCCCTTATTTAAATGTGAGTTCTGCTAATCGCACTGGATGACATTTTTGGATTTCTTTCCGAAAGATTTTTTTTATTTGACATAAGTGTAATATACGAACTAGCTAAGTGTCACACTTTAATATAACAAAAACCATGTTAACATCTAAAGCTCTAATACGCTAAATGACGACGACAATAACTCCACACATAGTAAAGATCCAGACACGGAATGTGGTCAGTACAAACTCTAACGTGAATCCACAAATATAAACAATCACTATGGGCGACAATAGATAGAAAAAAATTCACGACACAATGATACTTTGAAAAGATATGTTTTGAGAAATAGGGTAGGGGTGCTTTGGGTGACACATCTCGCATTGACGTCTATCATGGTTTCATTTTGTTTTTGGTTTTTGTTTTTAATTTTAAAGTAATATCTTAAAAAAACTTTTTTGAAACTAAAAGTGTGCCTCTTAATAAACACACATACACAAGCCAAAATGTTTATTAAAGAAAATGATGTGAAAAACAAACACACATTTACATTTAGTACGTGAAAAATATGTCTTAACACAAACTCTCATGCAAAACATAGATATGAATAATTCTTTTAAAAGAAATAATACAATAAACGTACATAATGTATTTCGCGCCAAAACGTCCCTAGCGCCAAAAAGGCGGTGCCAAAACGTCCTGCTTCGGTGGAGATGCATCAGAAGCAAAAGGAGTGTAGGTGTTTGGTAATGTTGAGCTGAAATGTGCCCTTGCAATATTTATGTCTGGAAATTCTGGGTCTGCAAGCATAGGCCTGTCTGTTACGTCCGAAGGCAGAAATTCTTTCTCATAAAATATGTCTTAATCTAGAGGCCACACACCGCTAGTTTGAAAACCAAATAAAATATTGTTACGAATCTCACTATCCAGGCTCCGTGCAAACTGCACCATACACCACCAACTTAAAGAACTTGACAACTCAGGGCTCCAAAGTAGCGTAACACTTTAATAGTTGAATAAATAACAGCCAATAGTGTACAATTGGCAACACGTACACTGTACAAATATCTCTCCGATAACACCGTTCCGCCGTATCAACTCTTGCACTGGCCTCTCCGTCTCGTTCCGGGCTTGCACTGGGTTCAACAGTTTAGGACTGACTTCACACACTAGGCTCGTTGTGTCGGACTCGATCGCAGACCAAGATCAAGACGCCAGCCGTCTCAACTGTACTTGACAGTACTCCGCACTGAACCGTCGTAATGCTCCGTACAGAGCCACACTGCTGTAGTGAACCTTCTGTCGTGAACCCCTTTTCTGAACCGTCTTGACAGCGACACCTCCGCTCTTATATAGGGTCCCTACTGGCCTTCTCGAACCGGACAGAACGCCGCTCGACATTTCTAGGTGGTCAGATGACTACAACTCTCGTGACGCTCCTGAGCTCTGTTCACGACGGCGATCCTTCCCGAACCATCATGTTGACACTCGTCTCGGCCGACCGTCATAACTCGTCACGGTTGACCGCTCGTCTAGCGCTGGCCTGGGGCGATTTGCGTCGGCTGACTACACTCACACCACCACCCCCATCTGTGCCACCACCAGGTTTATAACACTGCCCCCTCCTTAGATCTGTCCGTCCCGGACAGAATAAAACATCATGGCATTGGCTGTGAAGTTTCATCGCTGTAGGTGGGGGTCGATCGGTGGCAGTTGGCTTGCCTCTTGAGCTTGATGGAGCCATCCATGTTGCAATCAGCTTCCTTCTTCTCCTCCAGTTTGCTTTGACATGGTTGCCTTGACGTCGTGCTTTCATCGCCATCCACGTTGGATTCAGAAAACGTTTTCTTCTTCTCCTCCAGTTAGCCTTCATCTGGTTGCATCGATGTTGGTCTTCGTGTGGCTGCAGTGATATCGAGGTTGCATCGTCATCCATCTTGCATTCAACAAAAGTAGCCTTCTTCTTCTCCGCCAGTTGGTCTTCATTTGGCTGCAGTGATGTCGTGGTCGCGTCGTTCTCTTGTCGTTCGGTATTGAGGGCAGCCGTTTGGCACATGGAGAGGTATAGGATGTAAGGGCTGGGGATACCAAGATCGTTGGCCAAAGAGGTGAATTCATAGGGCTTTGCGAAGAAGAACTGGGATGGGCCCTCAAATCCACAGGACAGGGGATTGTGGGACAGGTCATCATTTTCAGCCTTGTTTGGAGGGCATGCTCGTGGGGCAAGTTGGTAACACTCCTCGTGCAAAGGTCCCTCGTCCTCGGGCTTCATTCGGCTTTCTTCACCACCATCAGGACATCTCTCTCTCGTCTCAGTATCGCCTGTTAGTTTCAGACCTTGTCGATGACTCTCATCATGCAAATGTCCATCAACTTCAACGTCATGCTTCCTTGGATTCTCTTGACTTCCCTCTCGAGTCTTGGCAGCTGGGCTAACTTCAGGCTCCATTGGATTCTCTTGTATGAGGTGGTAGGGTAATAATATGAATGTTATTTCTTTTAACTCATTCTAGGGCAGCATATGAAAGATGGCTTAGGATTAGGGGTAGATTTCAGTTGACCAATCATATTTTATAAAATGGTGCATAACTTGAAGAAAGCTGTCACTGGTCATCCAACCAGTAAGATAGGCAAGTCCAAAATAGTCTTCTGGCGATCCAATCAACATGAAGTTTTTAAATTGCTTTCTTGAAAAAAAAAACAGGTGGCAAAGAATTGCTGATGGCTGAAACAATGCAGCACATTGTCACAAGCTAGCTACCTTCTCTTGAGGTAAATTGACCAATTTGCTTGATTCCACGAGGTGCAATTATTTTAGGAATGTTTTGCACAGTCATCACACCAGTTTCATCTTAATTGAAGATCTGCTCACCACTAATATTTAGTTTTTTTGGAAGATTCTTCTAACAAAGTGAAAAATGTGTTAACATTAACGTTTGTTGAAAACTGTAGCCCGTGCCAGTGATGTAACTTCTAGTTGTCTGATTGAAAGTTCTGGATGGCGTCTCATAAATCCAAAAAAAAGCCCCTCTCCTCCAGCCATTCAATAGGTGGTCTATAACGCATGGCATTTTATATTATTTACTATAGTCATTTAAAGGGCAAGAACACGAACATTTTTGTTTGTAAGGCCATAAAACATATTTGAGCATCTAGCCAGTTGCCAAAGAAATTTCCTGTTCAGCAGTAAATATCAGGCTGTATTGATAGTTAGGACACAGACTAGTTTGGTTAACTTTAACCTTTTTTAAAAATATTGTTAATCAAATCGGGCAATGCTAAATTCTTTTGCCAACTTGTCGAACTGTCATACCCTACTCAACAGCAGTTACAGCATCTCTCATGACTGACTCTGGGCACTTTACCTTTATCAGTTTTCCTTTTTATAAACTCGAGGCATTATTAACTGGAAA